TAAAAAACATAAATAAATGAAAGATATTTCAGTAATTGATTAAAAAAATTAAGGATAAAAGAGAAAATTAATATCTAAACCATATGTTTATAAGCATTTAGGATGCTAAACTTGTTTTTGGTGTAATGTTCTCCTTCAATTTTTAAAGATAATGCAATCTAACTCTTATCATTAATAAAAGTTAACGTTGACTGCTAATTGATCAAAAAATGTTAAATAAAAATACCAAAGTAACATATAATTACCTCAGTTTAATTTTACAAAACTTACAAAGACCTTATCTTTATTTTTTTTTGAATTTTGATAACATATAGAAATTTATGTCATCTCAATGCATTTTCTTACAATTTCATATGCTTTTTGATGAAATTGTGCATGCTTTTGGTGCATATAATAATAAAATGTGCATATCTCACACTTGGGTTTAAACGACAAAATCTTGGTGTAAATTGTGCACAATTCTTTATCTTAGTATAATTAATCTTAGATTCACAAAATTTCTTACCTTCTTAGGTTGTTGGAGCATTATTTGAGGAGTAAAGAAGGAGTTATGAAGTTATTACATTAAGAAAAAGTCAAGACAAAGAGTGAAGAATTAAGCCTTAGCCTAAGTACCTTCGACCTCAGCCAATAGTTAGAGACAGCATACTACTAACTCATTTTGGCTGTAGCTAAGTGAGAGTTGGCTGCAACTGAAGTCTTAATCGAGAGGTTTTGGTTATAGCCAAGAAAGAATTGGCTGTGGCCGAGAGATCTTGACCAAGAGGTTCTGGCCCCAGTCAAGGAAGAATTGGTCATAGCCAAAAGCCTTTTATTAAAGTTGTGCATTTATGAATTAGACTTGAAGCTAGAGTTACATATGTAAAATTCTTGCACTTTGAAAGGGGAGCTGCAATTTTAAGAGGTTCCTTGAGACTTGTTCTGCTAGAGTTTAAGGTTCTTGAAGGAGATTTGGCTAATGATTAAAGTTTTAACAAGATTCAAGTAGATTTTCTTTGGTTTTTCTTCTTCTCTTCCCTTTTCACTCTTTGTTTTTGATATGGATGCTATATATTGTAACATATATGGCTCTTTCCTAAGCATGGATAGCTAGTTCTCTTGTTCTAGAATTATTTCGAATATTTGTATGAATTAAGACTTCAATATTCCTCTCTTTTGGTAGTTAATGATATACATGTATTTATTTTATCCTATGCTCAATGCTTTTAAGTACTTGTTCATCATTTAGATTATTTTGTTCACTTGAGTTATGCTTTAGAAAGCTAATTTAGGTGTAGAACTTGGATAAAATAATTTTGGGCTTGAAATTTATAAAATTAAATGGATGGTTTTTTTTGGTAAAATAAAGATATTTTATTAACCCTCTAGAGTCACATTAAGATTGGAGCTTAAAATTTATTTTTACTAATTATTTTTAAGAGATTGTAAAATTTTAGTCTTTTCAAATATACTTAATTTTGACTTGGGAAAGCTTTTTCAAGTGAATTAGAATCTTAGATTAACACTTATTTTGATTAAAAATCTATTTGAGAGGAATTAATTTAAGTCTTATGAAATATAAAGGGGACAGATAATCCTAAATTCTCACCTCTAAAAGTTAAGGTTTCAACAAGTTTTAATTACTTTAAAACAATTTTAATTTAATTTTCATTACTTTCACACAAACACTCTTGATTTTCCTCAACCTATCTTAAAACTTAATAGTGAATTTTAACTCTAATTTGCCTAAATCCTCGTGGGAATGATAACTTTGAATTATTTTACACTTGTGACGACCCGTACTTTTGCAGTAACACTTTACAGTGAACAAATTTACATTTAAATTTTCTTTTAATGCCTTTTAAAATAATCTATTAAATATTCTAAGATACTTAATTTTATTAATTATTAATTTAAATTATGTCCAAAAAAATTTCAAATTATTGATTTAATTTTTCCTCATGATCTAATTGTCTTCTCCATTTTTAAAGAATTTAAATAATTAAATATATATATATATATATATATATTCAAAGAAATATTTTACAAAAATATTAAAATTAATAAAATATTCAAGTTAATAGAATTTAAAAGTAAAATAAACTTGAATTATAATAGGATTAATGCACAATTCGGACCTTGAAATATATGTTCAGGGATGATTTAAACTCTAAACTCATATTATTATATTTTGTATCCTAAATAATTAAACTTACTGTTAAATCAAAATAAACGTCCATGATCAATAAACTTATTCATAAACAAGAAATAATAAGCCTCATTCAAGAAACAACAAGTTTATGTTCTCATTTTAACAACAATCTATTCTGTATTAATTCTTGTCTATAAATAAATTTTTTTGAGGGGTGCTTGAATTGATTCTCCCTATTTAAAATGCAACTAACTCTCCCAATTTCTTTTTTTTTATACAATTAATTTTCCCAATTTCGATATATCAGATTTGTTGAGGTCGTATATAATTATCTAAAGTGTTTATCAGAGTGGAGTGGCATAAATATATTGTAACACTCTACTTTTTTAAAACAATATTTGTTTAAACCCACCATGGACACAGACGGGACTTTTTTTTTCTTTTTGGAAAACTTACCATGGTAGAAGGGAGTTTACAATAGTAGAAAATAATTGAACCTGTTTAAAGAAAATTATAGCATGGTAGAACAAGGTTTCCTTTAATTAAATAAAACCATTTCAAAATCGATTATCATAATAGAAAGGATTCTATTATGTTAGGAAGAATTAAATTTACCAAACAGACCTACCATGATAAATAGTAATTCGTTAAAATAAAAAGGTTTACCAAATGGGATACCATTTCCAAAACACGATTTGAAAACTACATTATGTAATAAATTATATACACATGAAATCAAAGTTCCCAGGGATATTTTAAAACTAAAACATCACATATTATATAATATGAACCGGGAGGTGAAGAACAAATTTAGGCCTAGAATGATAGACACAGATAACTAAATTAAGAATAATTTAGGATTTATAATAACTTAGATCGTAGCTTAACAGTTCATTCAAAGTCTTAATAAGATTAGTGGGAGGTAATTCATTCTTAGATAAATACACACTAATATAGTGAAAGGTAATTAGAATACCTTAGAAACAATTGTCATTATAAATAAGGAAAAATAACATCATTAATTTAGAACAAGCCATCCCAATAGGTGAATCCCAATCCCTAATGTTTGATTGGTTGGTTGGTTTTCTATTTTTATCATTGTTCTTTATCTTGCATTAATTAAATATAAATCCCTTTTTCAAATATTTGTTTTTTCTAAAATAACAAAGTTAACTGCTTTTCTTTGGGTTTTACTCCAAAAAAAAAATGAAAATTATTACTATATCAATCATGTGTACTTGCAGGAGTGATCACCTAGAATACTGTGGGATTTTAAGAGATCACTTCCATTGCCAAATAATGATTCATAATTTAGAATTTTGCAAATAACCCGCATGAATAAAGTTGTTTATATGTGTCTTTGCAACTGAAGATCAGTTTAGGATTAGGTGTGCCTCTTTTAAGGAAGATTTTTATGATAGAAAAACAAATTTAATTTTGAAATATACAATGTTTCTGATTATATTCAATGTATCTAATCTTCTTCCTTTTCATATGTTGAGTGTTCGTGGATGCCTTAAGAATTATGAGTAGTTATGGAATAAAATAATTAGGATTTCTTTACAAAAATATGTTTTGGCCAAAAACATATGCAAATCTTTCATTAAGATCCTGTATTTAAGAGAGAAAAACCTTTATTAAAAAATATTTTAGTGATAAAGTAATGAAATTTGAAAGAAAAAAACAATAACAGAATGAGTAAATTTTAGAGAAGAGTAACGGAGTAGGCTAGAGTAGTTTTCTAATTCACATTCATTCATATATGTGTAAAAGACTTTGGGATTGTCCTCCAATTATAAAAGACTAGCACATCCTTATCAGAACAACAACAACGACAATAAAGAATGACCACATGGATTTACTTCGTATCTATACTAACATAATGATATTCATTAACCAAAATCAAGGATTCATTGATGCATTTGGTATACACAAATAATTTTTAGCTAGATTTTTTTTCCAATACATATAAATTAATAATATTTATTAATTTTGTATATTTAATGCTTTAGATTTAAAAGAATGGAGTGAGACGATAGTAATAAGATGGAAATGAATATTATTGTTCTAGTCTCTGTACATTTTAGAGAATAAAGGATCATGTAAACAATAAAATTCTAATGTCCAAGATTTAAATTTATTTACCTTTTAGAAAAGCCATTTTATTTTTTCCAAAACTTTTGGTTAAATCTTTTTCATTATATGCCTTTCCATAACTACTCATAATTCCTTATCCATTGGCATTAGCATCAGCAGACACTCATCAACATAAGGAAAGGGGGAATTAGATACATTATATAATTGAAAATTTAAATGCTACTCTATAATTAATAATTAATCATTAGAAAAGGACCTATACCTGAACTTATTCCCTCTACCTCTCTCACAACAGTATGGATTCTCTCATCTTCCTTCCCTTCCTCTTTCATTCTTTTCTCTTTTTAGCTATTAGATCAAGATTTAAATGGTTTAGATTTGATATCCTATAAAATTATTATTACAATATTAAATTATAAAAAATAAAATTCAAAATCCTAAAATTTAATAAAAAATTTAAAAGTACAGTAAAAATAAAATAAAATGATATGTTTTGAAGGAGATCAAATCTGGATCGTTCAAAATTTTAATTTAATGGATAGAAATTAAGAAGAGGAGGGGAAGGAAGAGGAGAGAATCCTCTCCCCTCTCACACCCACACACGCAAACATACAATCACCCATTCACACCCTCGCACGTGCAGAGGCACACATTTCTTATAGCAGTTTATTTACATGTTATTGATAAAAATTCTCTTGAGAAAAAGATAATATTTAATTAACTGTTTGTGTGGCAAAGGGTCGGGTCCCCTTTTAATTCTCTCTTTTTGTAAGAGAGCTTCTTATTTGTCTTTCATTTTTGACCGGTGGATCTAGGTTACTCTCTCCCTTTTGTTCTCAATGTGAGGGGATTTGAAGTAGGCGCGCTTGTTTTCCGGCTAGTGAGAGTGCTTGGATGATGATGGATCATCCCCTCGATTTGCAATCTCATCGTGAATCACTCAGATCTGTCTTCCCTGAGTTGCAATGGAGGTATGTTTTTCTTAAACTTTTCAAACATTGTAATTTTATTTAGATCCAGTATGAAACGCTTCATGGCTGGTGAGTTCAAGGCGTGGGTTTTGCAAGCTCATGATTCGATCTCTATCATGACGATGGTTAATTATGATCTAAAAGTTTCCTCTTTGAAATTTTGTTGGTGTGCTTTTGCTGTCTGCTTTAAGTTATTTTGGGTCATGATTGATTTTTGGCATGAGGTTTTATCAATTGGCATACAAGGATAGACTAGAAGTCAGTATTTGGGGCCCAAAAAATGAAAAGTTTCACCAGCGTGGTGGGCTAAATTAATTTCAACATTCTTTATAAACAAAATAAGAATTTTTTTCCCTTAAAGTTGTTAGGTTTTTGCTTAAAGTTTTTCTGATTTTGTTAGCAAAAGTTGTCTTGTTTTTGCACTAATCTTTTTGTTTGCTTAGTGTTTTATCTTCATTTATGGTTGGCTTGATTTAAGGGAAAATAACTAATTGACTGTGTGGGTTTTTGTTTTCACACTTATTGTTACCCATGAAGTCTGACAAAACATACGATGATGATGATGATAAAGGGGATAAAAATATCATTCAGTATTATGGCGTGTGTTGAACTATGCCCATCAAATCAATGATATACCAAAGGTACATTAATGTCTATTTTAATTTAATTTGGTGTGTATATATATATATAAGCATATGGTTAAACCTTTATAACATCTTTTGATTCTTCTCTGCAAATAATTCTGGATGATATAATACTTCATTGATCATGTAAGCTAATTAGATAAATCATTTCCATGCTACAAGCACATACAACAAATTAACATCATTTGATATTGTTTTGTGATCACATCAATCTGATTATTCTTTAACAACATAAATTTATAAAATCTGATAATCTTCCCTTTTGTTGAAGACCAAAGCGGCAATGGACTGAGACGAGCAAAAGAGGTTCAAGCAAACTATCCAATTAATTTCCTAGTTTTGTCATGTTTATGTTATTATTTAATCAATAATAATGACTTTTTTTTAATTTAATGGAAAGTTTGTAAGTTGGGCCTTGTAAGTTCTAAGTGGAATGACTAATTTTGTAGGTGGAATCAAAACCTAGTGAAGTCTATGCTCGATTCCTGACTCAGGAGTGAGAAATTTTTATGCCTTCCACTTATTTTGCTTTAAATCTATTCAATCTATTAAATTAATGTGTTATAACCAGCTATATGTTAGCATTTTACAATAAACATAAACTAAGACTTGTCACTTATTACACCAAAATAGTTTAAGTTGCTTTGGAAGAACTTACCACACACTTATATAGTTGTAATTAATTCTCTAATTACTCAAGATGGGACTATCATACATCTGATACAATAGACTTTCAAGTTGCTTATACTTTTCAAATACATCATTATCACTAAAATGTGTGTTTTGTGGGTTTATTCAGATTGATCCAAGGGTTCCTGATGCAACCAAACCTGAAATATTAACCACCTCTGTTACTAACACGCATGGAATTCTCACAAAGAAACAAAGTCCTATTCATTCATCTATGATTTCAAGCCAAACCATGCATCTAGGGTGGTTGCGACGGCTAGTCATGCAGTCATGATTGGCAACATGTTTCTAGTCTATTACAAACCCACAAGTCTTTGGTTTTGATGTTCATGACAATGTATGCTAATTGCTGACAACGTGAAGCCTAATATAATTTATGTTGGCATTGAGGATGGAGACAATCTAGATGTTGTCACAAGCACAAATTCAAAGAAAAATCTCATTCCAAAATACTAGCCTGTTTGGAGAAAGAATTCCTCACACTAACCCCACTCCACTTATGAGGCTTGCCTATGTAGGACTCATGATATATTCTTTATTGAATTTTCATTATCATTTGTTAATCTTTTCTTCCCAAAATCAATGACACACCGAAGGTATATCAATGGTTATTTGATATCATATATTCATTTTCATTTTTATACATACATACATGCATACATACATGTATATTTATATGTATACGTATATTCTTCAAATTGTAATATGTTCACATGCATGCAATGCCTTTTTTCATAGGGTTGAGTAATATAGGTTTATTATTGAGTAATTTTTGTTTCTTTGGACTTTTTCTAATGGTTAATATGTATATTATTATTATTATTATTATTAGATGTTCGATGACGAGAGACGGGAAGATAATTGAAGGGCATTAATGTAATTAAGTTATTTTACATTTTGATTCTCATGTCTGACTTTGACTTCTCTACAAAATAATCGTGTAAATCCATTTGTATTTCCATCTCACATGGGATTGTCAAGTTTTGTTCCTCAAAGTTGGGCATGGGTTTCGAAAATGGCATATCGTTTAAAACAAGAAGTACAAATAGGTGTGTTGTGAAAGTATTTTCTTTCCTTTTTAAATTACAATAATGACACCATCCAATTGGTTGCATTGATTATTTAATAGATTGACATAAATGATCGACATAGAAAGGCATTTTCATGCATGTTATCGTAAATAATATACTATAACAATTAAAGGACTATGTTATTTTAACAGTAAAGATGTGAAGATAATCCAGTAATGAGCTCAATGAAGGAGCCAAAAAAAAACAATCTCGTGACCAAAATATCTATAGTAGAAGAATGATATGTATGTAAAACAATTTAGGGTTTTGTCTTTGGAGACACAAACCTTTACAAATAAGTCAATTTGTTTAATATCCTATTCTATTTTGTGAATTATTTGACCAATGATTTGTGAATAACCTCCTAGAAGAAGTTGGTTTAAAAAAAAACTCCTAGAAGAAAGGTATGTATACATGTATCTTTGCATGCGAGTGTCAGTTGAGGGTTACGTGTGCTTCTTTTGAGGATGATTTTTAAACACAAAAGTGAAATTGATTTAATTTTCAAACATAAAACACATCTAATTTTGTTGTTTTTCATATGATTAATGCTAGTGGACGGCAAAGATTTATGAGTAGTTATGGAATAACATAATTTATAAGATTTATTTACAAAAAACATGTTTCAAAGTTTGGCAAAAGTTTCTTTTGTTTTAGATAAGTTATCGAATTAAAAGTGAATTTTTTATTAAATTTAAAAATACAAATCAAATAAAAACAAAGCCGAAGAATAAATCCGAGTTAAGATCAACAATTGAAGAGCTCCCTAAGAAATCTAATCTCCTTTTATAGTTAGCAATTCAATTTCTTTTGGTTATCATGTTTTAATTTTACTTTAAAATCAGGGATCTAAATTAGATTATGTGTTCCTTGACTACAAAACCCATAATCTAATTATACTATGATATCTCAAGCAAGTCCTAATCCAATTATACTCAAGCCTTAAAATATTACCTAGGGCTCTTGAATATATTTCTCAAGCTCAAATTAGATTAAATCCAATTCTAAGTTGCTTAATGCATAGTCTATTTGAGATTATCTTCTATCAAAGGTGAAAACTAAGATCCAAATACTACTAAAGTAGCTTCCAATAGCAAGAGAATAAAAACAAATCTTATTAAGCATTAAAGAGTTCTTCAAAATTGAGTAACCAGATAGAAATCTACCCATAAAGCATTAAAGGTTCATAAAATCCCCAAGGATAAAAGAAAATTGGCCATTCATGGCTCTAAACATGAAAAATAATTCATAAAACAACATAAAGAATTAATAACATAGAGTAGAAGAAGAAGAGAATCTATAAAAATCCTTAGAGGATGCTCCACAATGACTCCTCAATCTCTATTCTAACCTTCAAGCCCTTGGTTGATGCTCTATAATTGCCTTCTCAGTTTCAGATCTAAACTTCAATGCTCCTAGAAGTCTTCTGGGGCTTCATTTAATTTGTAACTTTTTTCACCCTTTTGGCCTCTAATTTCCATTTTAACTCATCTAATTTTGTAAGATATTGTTTAATTTTGCATTTGAATTCTAAATCAACTTCTGTCACCTGTTTTGCTCTCACATCCGCGCACGGTCGTATCCTTCTTCTCCATGTCTTTATATGTGAAGATTAGTTTAAGGTTAGGTATGCCTCTTTTGAAGATGATTTTTAATCATAGAAGCTAAAGTTATTTAATTTTCAATACAATGTTTCTAATTTTTTTCTTTTCACATATTGAGTTTTAGTGGTTGACAAAGTATTACGAGTAGTTATGGAATTACATAATTAAGAAGATTTATTTACAAAAAATATGTTTCAAAGGTTGGAAAAAAATGTGTGTAAATATTTCATTAAGATCCCCATATTTAAGAGAGGAAAACCTTTCTTGAAAGATATTTTAGTGGCAAAGTAATAAAGTGAGAAAAAGTGACTATATAACAATAAATTATAAAACTAATGAAAATGTCACATCCCAATAGTAAGAGTATGATTGGCATAGAATATGAAGTGACTTGTTTTTCATAAGCTTTGATTAAATAGATATTAAATTAAAATATCAATATATGTAAACTACATAATTAAATCATTAGCAAAGAGTTTTTTTTTTGAAATTTTGGCAGAATCTCCTCTATAAATTGATTCTCCTGAAATTTTCACAAACACATAACCTATTAACTAAACCAGCAAGGAGACTAGCCCCATTCCAATAATTTACATAATAACAAAATAAGGCCAAGATCTAGCTATGGTATTCGTGGAGTACTAATTTACAATATACAAAATAAAATACAAATTTTTATCAAAAAGGATAACCACCATGCGCTTTCTTTTTTCAAAAAAATGTAATAGGATCCCTCAATGGTTCTCAAGAGGCACAGGGTCAGTATAATATTAAGATCAAAGAAATTTTCTAACGAGTAGTGTTCTAATTAAAAATTATAATAAAATTTATGAAAATAGAAAATAAATTTAATTTACACAATTTAATGAAATGTTAAAAGATATATATATATTATATACATTCTAGAACTAACAATAAGAAACAAGTTTGCTCAATGGTTCAACTGTGAAATTTAACAATGCTAATAGAATAATATAAATCATGATATTTCATGTACACATAAAATTTAAAATTTAAAAATTTAAGTAACAACAATTAGGTAGAATGCTAATGAATTTTAATTATAATTAGGAGGGCTTTATTAGAACGAAAGCATAGACACACAGTCCACGAGAGCAAATAACCAATCAAGCATAGACACACAGTCCACAAGGATAATAACCAATAAGCACAACTTAAAGCTATGAAATAATCAAATGCAGGCTAGAAGCCATGAAACAAGCGTGAATACAATGCTCATGAATATCCATCTCTCCATTCCACTTGCATGGGCCCATGCACAGGGCTAGCATATCCTACAAATATCTTATTAGCTAGGTGTATCATGCAAACCAAGGGCTAATAAAATTGCCATTAGTATTCAGCATTTTGAACTCAGTCCCCCTTAATAAAAATCAGCATGTATGGGGGAAAAAATAGTTCCAACATCTTCACTAGCAAATACCATCCAACTATAATGATTTAGAAAATTATTTAAAATTAAAAACCTTGAAAATTATTATTAAAACTTAAAGCTTTGGTATGTAAATTATTATTAAACTTAAAGCTTTGGTATGTAATTTTGAATAAGCTACAGAAATGTTCTCATTAGACTTGAATATATAAAAAACAACATTTCTTCATTTTTTAATTTTTTTAGAAATTTGATTTATTTCATAATTATTTAATTATACTACTATTATTGTAAAGACCAAAATCTTACGTAAAAATTTAAAATTTATAATGAGGAATTTTAAATGTATTTATTTTATTTTATTTTGGGCAAATATAGCAAGAAAAGCATAAAAGCTTAGTGGAAAATTTATTGGTTTAATCTTTGGTGCTTTTTTTGAATCCTCAAAACTGAAACGTAGGATATTTATTTTTTACTTTAGTGAAATCCTTATTTACCCTTAATAATAATAATAATAATAATAATAATAATAATAATAATAATATAAAAGTATTGAATCAGAACCCAGCCCAAAACACACATGCATTGATGACTTCCAATATTTTATTAAATTTATTGGTGTTTTTAATGTAATTGAAAGTTATTATTTGAGTTTTGTTAGCAAAAAATATGATTAAGTGGATAAATGTATGTGAAAATAGGCTTGGATATGTTGTTAAGTTAGTAGACTAATTCTATATTTATTCTGAATTTTATGCATATAGGCAGGCCCAATTTTAGGCATAAAAAGAAAAATTTTGGAGCTCAAGTTAAAGAAATTAAATTTAAAAAGAAAATTTGAACAAGTCATGTCACTACACCAAAAAAACGTTTTGCCACTCCAATTTTTGTAAAACGCACAATTTTGACTCTCAACGAATTTTTAGGGCATGGGCACCTCATTTTCATGCACTCTTCACCTCCTGCAGCTGCAAAACATTAAGAAGAGGGAAAAGAGCCAAGAAGGGTTGGAGAAACTTAGGTTTGGTGGAAAATCAAGAGTTTCGCTCACAATTAATCTGATTAAGCTTTCTTTTTCTCCTCTTTACTTTACTGTAATATATTATTGATTTTGTTGTCATGAAAGCCATTTGTAGCTGATTTTCTCTTAATTTAGAGTAGCTATGAATTGATTCTTAGATTAGAGCATGTTTCAACTATTTATTTGAGCTTAATATTAGTTTTTTTTTACTTAATCTTGTGCTTATTTATCTACTTAATGCTTGATCACCATTGAGTATGAATTTGGGGGTTTAGGTTTTGACTTGAAAGAGGAAAATCTGAATTAGATCATTAGATTGAGTAATGTGATATTAGAATTTATTCTAAATTTGCCAATAGGATAAGAATATACCTATTGGGACCCATATAATCA